TTCGACAAAATGCTTTTGCTCTAGAATGAGGTGGTATTTCGGCCATCCCGAAATTGGTGTTTTTTGCAAAACTGCAATGGAAGCACTTTTTTCGCATCACGGGAGTTACGTGATCAACAACCGGCTGTTTCTACTGGCGAAAAGACGATGAAGAAGATAACAGGAAGTAGAAATAGTAGTAATATCACAGAAGTAGTAAACTCACTGACTACAATTTCCCAAAAACACAGCATACGTAGCCGCTTGTCACTGGAAAGCCTCGATAAAAGATGCCGACGTCTCCTCTGATGATGAGCGCTAGTGTCGTGGTAGCAATATGCCATGTGTTTACATCCATTGCTGCCATGTTTGTAATGACTTATCATGAGAACAAATGTTTTCACACGTGACTTTAATAGCATTTCTTACTTAATGGAAACACCGCAGTTGCGAAACTGTGTTTTTTTTTTTACAGTAACAGAATATCGACAAAGTTTTGCGCACATTTGCAATGGAAACGCAGCTTCTGTTCTGTGTTTTTGGTTTCTGGGATATCCCAGGGATTACCCCAAACAACTAGTAGTTAGGTTCCATTAAAAAAATCTGAAAATGCAAACTGTAAAACACAACTGCAGGGCTTTACTGTACACGTCTGAGCTGATCACACAAGTTTGATTGTGGAAGACACTTAACACATGTAGACTGGTTCAGTAAACTCCCATGTCCCTTTGTGGACCTTTATGAGGGTAAAGATCTGGGGTCTCATTTATAAAGGACTGCGTGGAAACCATACTAAAAGTGAACGTCCCTCTCTCCAGACACTCCCGCCCCGCGCACACACACGCATGCACGCATCCCCCCCGCGCGCGTGACAAATACGGACTTTAAACGTGAAGTTTTATAAGTTTTATAACATTCACACTGGCGAGGTGGATGCGCCCTGCGCGTGTATCCAAAGCGTGACTTTTGCTGTCCTGCTGTTCTTATTGGGGAGGGGTCTGTGGGTCAGGGAGGGGTCTGTGGGTCAGGGAGGGGTCTGTGGGTCAGGGAGGGGTCTGTGGGTCAGGGTCGTCTAAGGAGGGAGCAGATGAATGGAGTTGCGCACGGGAACTTTTATTTAAGATTTAAGTTTTTTTATTTCAAAGGTCCTCATGGCTCAGCAGCAGAAGCATAAAAAATTTACTGTTAATAAAGCTGATGATAAAGTTGAATAAAAATCTAAGTCTGATATGTCTGTAAATTAAATATCTGACAGTGATCATTACACAGTGTGGCTCTAATTCCTCACTTCACCATCTGTGTCGCAGTTTCATGTCGCCAAAATGAGCGTACGCATGGGTCAGAGCTGTCGTGAGGCACCGCACATTTTCACGTCAAGTTTGGATTTWATAAATCACAACCTTGGCGTAAAAAGTGGCGTGCGCAAGCTTCTGGGCTCAAATTTTGCGTACGCCAGTTTTATAAATCTGACCCCTGGTCCGTCAGCTGGGACAAAACCTGCATTGTTCCACCTGATCCAGGATTCAACCATCAACTGGACTCTCTTCTCCAGAAAAGATCTTACCTGGGAGGCTGAGGAGGGAGATGCCCCTGTAATTAGAACACATAATCTGGTTCCTCTTCTTAGAAGCAACCATCACCCCAGTCAGGCAATCCAGTGGCCCTGCCCCCAATGTCCACTCATTAATGCAGAGTTGGTCAACCAAGACAGCTTAGGAAGATCCAGAGCCTTAAGGAGTCTTGAGGAACTCTGCTACCATAGAGGTTTTTAACTATACTTCAGGGACCTCAACACCAATTATGAGCAGACCAACCCCAAAGTCCCACAACTCAGCTTCATCCACAGAAAACATGCTGGTAGGATTGAGAAGGTCCTCAAAGTATTCCTTCCATCACCTGTCTGTATCCATACTAAACATTAATCATATGAAATCCAGTGAATCATGTCACCCAAATAATTTTTATGCTGGTGAAAAGAATACCAGCTTCAGTCAATCATGATCACATTCCTGATTTTTCTTTTCAAATTAAAAGATTTTGTAGCATCTCATTAAACATTTAAGTGAATATGTTGTAAATCTGATCTGCTCTGATCCTTCTACTGCTACAACAACTCCATCTGCTAATAACTTACAACAGATAATCATTCTCACAACATTCATTTAGTTTAAAAAATAAAATGAAATTTATTCAGTATATAACAAAAAATACAACTTACCAAGAAAATAAAGGAAAGACTAGGACTGATACTGGAACAGTGATATAAAATAAAATGAGCAAGCTAACGAGTGCCAGAACTGTAGAATAAAGTGTGAAAATAAAACAGCATGAGGTTTTGTAAGCGAGCTGCCCTGAACAGAAGAAAACCTGAGAAAGGAGTCTTCCTCTGTGTTTGGAGCAGAGTGGTGGAGCTGTCAAAAAACAGCTGACATAGAGACAGTTTGAGGTCAGAGTGTTTTCCCACTCGGCGCAGAGGACCGACTACAGAGAGTCAAACATCGTCCACATGAATGAGTCATGAATGGCAGGTATCCAAAAAAGAACAGTTGCCTCTGGGTCCCTCTGACAGCACTCAGCCCTGTAACAGGCCAGCAGAGAAACTGTCCTGTGGCACCTCTCCTACAGAGACACACTGAAAACAAGTGAGCGTGTGGGAGGTAACATGAAGGAAAACACAGTAATGTTATCCATCCATCCATCCATCCATCCATCCATCCATCCATCCATCCATCCATCCATCCATCCAACCAACCAACCATCCATCCAACCATCCAACCAAACAACCAACCAACCAACCATCCATCCATCCATCCAATCAACAACCCATCCATCCATTCAACCAACCAACAAACAATCCATCCATCCATCCTTCGACCCATCCATCCATCCATCCATCCATCCATCCATCCATCCATCCATCCAACCAACCAAACATCCATCCAACCATCCAACCAAACAACCAACCAACCAACCAACCAACCATCCATCCATCCATCCAATCAACAACCCATCCATCCATTCAACCAACCAACAAACAATCCATCCATCCATCCTTCGACCCATCCATCCATCCATCCATCCAATCATCCATCCAAACAACCAACCAACCAACCAACCATCCATCCATCCATCCA